GAACGACATCTCGGTGAAGGGGGCCATGGACTCACAGCTACCCCTCAAAATAGCCTCGTGTTGGACATGGTAGACACCGTCTTGATCGCGCATGGTCGAATTCAATTCGGCCATGACCCAGCCGCTCATGGCAATCCCAAGATCGTGGGCCACTGCCAAGAACGGATCGATGTAGTCATAGAGTTTGAGATCAGCAAGGGTGATTGGAGGCAGGTTGCCGTGGGAGATGCCGTATGGCGGTTTATCGCCTTGGGACTCGGGATACTTGAAGAGACGCATGACCTTGCTGTAGAGGGCCGCACCGTCAAACACAAACTCGTACATGGGGCCGGCTTCGGCTTGGTAGCCCCACAGGCTCTTGCGGTTCACGATGCCGCCCATCTGGACGCGACTGGACAGGTTCAAGTAACGGGGGGTAGTGTGATCGTCATCGTGGAGAGGGTTCATCATCCAGGCGCGGCTGCGGAGGAAGCCAAGGATCATTTCATGGCGCTCCTCACAGACAGGAGCGTCACCAAGATCCTCGATCAGCAAGCGAAGGCGGAAACCTTCGACAGCGACCTTGATCGGCTCACCACCGAGAGTGCGTCCGACCATGACGGGGTAGAAGGAGGAATCAATGCAGCGATCATCTCCGTTGGAATACCAGGAGCAGATCTGGAACTCGGTCGTGGTCTCAGTCTTGAGACGCTTGGGAGCGGGGGGATGGCTAAAGAAATCGGCAGGCTTGACTTGCATGGCGTTGTCTGTGCTGGTCTACGCTGGGCGAGGGTGCAGGAAATAAATTGTAACGTCCACTACTGGGACGTTGGGGCAAGACGGGGAGGGAGGGGGTACAAGACAAGACAGGACGGGGCAGAACAGGGCGGTGCTAGGCTACTCTAGCGGACGGGTGAGCTCGGGGAGCACTTACGTTTATTCACGATAAAACCGAACTCCAGACAAACGGGGGGAACGGGGGCAACCCGCAGGTATACCCTGCGGTGGCCTGCCTGCGGTGCGTGAAAACGCAAAGCGCAGCACAGGTCACGACCCACTGCGCCGCGCAGTACGCGCAGTACGCGCAGCACAGCGTCGGAGATACCATCTCCTACACTCCCACACTTAAGAAGGCTTCCTGCGAGGAGCCCTGCGTGTGCTCTTTATTTGGGGCTCCTCGAGGTGTTTACCGTATTTACTCAGCTCCTCGGGTGCATGGGACAAGTCCTCCAGTGTTTGCCATGTGTTGCCCGAGTGTGGGTAACCAACCCACTTGACATAAAACCGAAGTGACCCATCAGCCACTTTCTTGTGCCTCACGATCCTTTCGACTTCATATTCTTGAGTATAGTATTGTCCGAGGTCGTCTTCCAGTGGTGCGTCGTCCGGGACACCTTCGTCGGCGTCGGGGAACTGTGCTGGACTGCGGGTCGTGTGGCGACGCAGCTTGGACACATGGAAGACAGGATGGAGCTTGCTTCCAGGTGGCAAGTCCAACAGGTAGTTGAGGGGACTGGGTCGGGCCGCTATCTTGAACGGTCCTCGGTACTTGGGCAACAACTTCTTTGACTGGGCTTCGGGGACCTTGATGTTGTCGGCGTCCAGGTAGACAAGGTCTCCAACTTCAAAGGAGACATCCTGGTGTCGGCGGTCGTAGTACTTCGCCATCACTTGTTGCGCATCCGTGAGCGCGTCGGCGATCATCTTGTGTCGGACTTGATGATCTTTGACAAAGGCACTTGGTTTGGGAGGCAATCCAGCCGTGGACTCGGTCAGTGTCAAGGAGGTGGGAACATCAGGCTGGAATCCGTAGAGCGCCTCAAAGGGGCTCAAGCCAGTTGTGCTCGACTTGGCGGTGTTGTATGCAAACTCTGCATGACTCAGCTGTATGTCCCAGTCGTCTTGGCTGGTCGAGGCGTATGTCCTCAGGTATTGCTCGAGGGTGCGGATCGTCCGCTCGGACTGTCCATCCGTTTGTTGGTGGTGCGAGGTTGACATGTTCAGCTTGGTGCCGAGATGGTCGAACAGACTTGTCCAAAACAAGGAGGTGAATCGGGGGTCTCGATCACTGACGATGGACTTTGGGAGGCCGTGGTGCTTGAACACATGCTTGAAGAACAGCAGTGCAAGGTCAGGCGCGGAGCATGTCGTCTGGCACGGCACAAAGTGTGCCATCTTGCTGAACCTGTCGACAAAGACAGCGATTGCATCGTGGTCCAACTTGGTCGTCGGTAGATGCGTGATGAGATCCATGGACATGCTGGTCCAGGGGCGGTCGGGAACAGGCAGGGGTTGCAGCAATCCTTGCTCTCGGGTCGTGCGTGACTTGACCATCTTGCAGGTATGGCAGGACTCGATGTACTTCTCGACGGTGCGCTTCATTCCAGGCCAGTATGCGACTTTGGCCAGTCGGTCGTATGTCTTCTCGACTCCAAAGTGTCCAGCGAGGGGCGAGTCGTGGACCTCTTGGAGCAACTTGGTCTTCAACGACGGAATGTCCGGCACACAGACACGGCTGTCCTTCTTCAGGAGGAGCAGGCCATCACGCACTGTGTACTCGGATGATTCGTCGTCCTTGGGGAGCTTAGACACCTTTCGGAACAGTTCTCCGAACTGTTTGTCGTTGGCGATGTTGTCTCGGACAACATCCAGCATCGTGTTGTCGACACTGACAGTCGACTCGTACAGTGACGCCAATTGGTAGTCGGGGCGTCGGGACAGTGCGTCAGGCACCACATTGAGTTTGCCTTTCTGGTATACAACCTCGTAGTTGTACTCGGCGAGGAACTCCATCCATCGCGCTTGGCGTCGGCTCAGGTTCTTCTTGGTGTCGAGGTAACGCAGTGACTGGTGGTCCGTCACAATCTTGAAGGGCTTGGCGGTACCGTGGAGGTACACTCGGAACTTCTGCAGCGCGTAGATGATCGCAAGCTGCTCCTTCTCGTGCACGGGATAGTTGATCTCGTGTTGGGACAGTTTGCGCGACTCGAAGGCAACGGGCCTTCCCTCCTGCATCAAAACAGCTCCCACCGCAAAGTCGGAGGCGTCGGTGTGCACGGAGACATCCGTGTTCGGGTCGAACACAGCGAGGACAGGAGCGTTCGTCAAGGCGTGCTTGAGGGTCTCGAACGCTTGGCGTTGTGGGTGGTCCCACACGAAGGGGCACTCTTTGCGGAGTAGGTCTGTGAGTGGACCGGCAGTGCGCGCCAGATCGGGGATGAATCGGCGGTAGTAGTTGACGAGACCGAGAAACGACTGCACGTCAGAGACGCATGCGAGCGGCGGCCACTCGACCACAGACTTGACCTTGGCGGGGTCGACTTCGATTCCTCTTCCTGAGACAACGTGTCCCAGGAACGGGACTTGATTCTTGAAGAACTCACACTTGGACAGTTTGGCATACAACTTGTGCTCGCGTAGCTTGGCCAGCACGCGGGCGACATGACCTTCATGGGTCGCTTCATCCTTGCTGTACACAAGGATATCATCCAGGTACACGATGACAGAGTTGTCGAGCTCTTGGCGGAACACATCGTTCATCAGCTGCATGAACGTGGCAGGTGCGTTCGTCAATCCGAACGGCAGCACTAGGAACTCGTACAGTCCGTAGCGAGTCCTGAAGGCGGTCTTGTGGACATCATCCTCGTGGATGCGGATCTGATGGTAGCCTGAGCGGAGGTCTATCTTGCTAAAGACCTTTGCTCCACTCAGACGATCCATCAACTCGTCGATCCTGGGCAACGGGTAGGTGTTCTTGATGGTCTGTTTGTTTAGTGCGCGATAGTCGACGCACATCCTGAGATCACCTTCTTTCTTCTTGACAAAGAGCACTGGTGCACCATACGGTGACTGGCTCGGGCGGATGAACCCATGGGCGAGGAGGTCATCCAACTGGCGCTTGAGTTCGTCCATCTCCGTCAGCGACAGTTGGTACGTCGGTCTTGACGGAGGCGACGAGCCTGGTTCGATGTCGATGCGATGATCGACGGTGCGTTGGGGTGGCAGGCATTGTGGCAACTGGTCGGGGAATACGTCCTTGTACTCGTCGAGCAGCTTGGTCACCACAGGCGGGGGACCGGGACCGGCTTGGTCGGTGTCGTCGACCTCACGCACGACACAGAGGAACGACGTGTCCTTCTTGATCAGCCTCTTGAATTGCATGGCTGAGAGGAGAGGTGGCATGTTGGGTGAGGCCATGCCCTGCAGGACAATGTCAGGGCCAACACGGACAGTGCGGCCTTTCCAGTCGACGACTGGAGTCGGCTCGGCACGAGCAAGCCAGCTCATGCCGAGGATGGCATCGAACTTGGTGTCGATCACTTGGAACAACAGGACAGGATGGTACTTGGGATGGAGGGCCACTCGCAGGACCACTTGGTGTGTGCACTGCTGCACACGATCGTCTGCAAGCGCCACACTCATCGGCGACTTCTTCTTGGTTGCATGTATGTTGAGCTCCTGGAGCAAGCGTCTGCTGACAAAGTTGCAGCTTGCTCCAGAGTCCACCATCATTCGGACGGTGTGACCTTGGACGGTGGCAGGGAGGTACAGCAGGGACTCTTCATGGTCCTCCTGCACAGCCTCCTGCACCATGACTTGACTTGGGGGAACGGGCGACACTTGGTCTTGGTTGGCTTCATCACGGCCACTCGGACATTTTGGATAGGGTTCGGCCATTGCGGGGGCCTGCGGCGTCAGCACGCCATTGCACACGACGTCCACGGCTTGCGGACACATGTCGGAAGCATCCGACACACACGACTTGACAGGGGTGAGGGCACAGGCGGTCCTGTCCCTCAAGGGTTCTTGATTTTCTTTTTTGTTTTGGTTTTCAATTTTGGTTTTCTCTTCACGTTCGTGGAGAGGCAGGCGGCTTGCGCCACCATGCACCTCTCGCACGACGCACAACACTTGGTTTGTTTCTCCTTCGGGGGAGGGGGCGAGGTGAACTTCCTCTGGAGACGCGTGGACTGCATTGAGCAATCCACGGCGTTGGTCTCCTACTAGGGCTCCAGAGCCACCTAGTAGGGTCGGCCGTTTCCCGACTTCATGGGGCACTCCTTGGCCTGGTGTCCCGGTCGGTGACAGAAGAAGCAGGAACCATGGCGGAGGTCCTCCTGCTTCTGTCTGTCCTTGGGGGAGACAGTGGCAGCTTGCTGGAACCGGGAGCGGGGAGGGCCACGAGCCTCCATGGCGTTGACGTCAACGTCCATGGGCTCAGGCATGGGTCTTGCGGGCGGGGCCGGGCGAGGCGGACGGGCTGGGACGTGATGAGACCGATGGCCGCCTGCCAGCTGCGGGTAGAACTGGCGGCCATGGTACTGGACGTTGTCGAGGTTCTCGGCAACGTCCATCATCACGTCCAGGGACTTGCGGGCATCAGGGTTGCTGGCGATGTACTCTCTGATCTTGGGCTTGAGGCCCTTCTGGAAGAGGTACATCGCATCAGCAGAGCCCAGCTCCTCAATCTGGGAGGAGAGGTCTTCAAACTCCTCGATGTAGCGGGTCACAGAACCACGCTGCACGAGAGAGTATAGCTTGTCACGGGCAATGAGTTCAGCATTGGGGCTGCCGAAGCGGCGACGGAGGCGGTCCTTGAAGTCGTCAAACACACCTTCGCTCTGCTCGTCGAACCCTTGGCGGCGGTACCAACGGTACGCCTGGTCCTTTAAGCAGAGCTTGGCGGCGACGATGTGGTGGGTGGGGGCGACTTGGGCAGCATCGAGGTAGTCCTCGAGTTGCTGCAGCCAGTCCTCCACCGAGGAGGAGCGGCTCTTCCCAGTAAACACTGGGGCACGGAAGGTCTTGAGGAAGGCTTCCGGAAGTGGGCGGGGGTTGCTCATGGCAGGGGCAGGCTCCAGGGACAGAGAGGAGAGTCGGTCGGCAAGAGAGGCGGGATCCAGCTTGAGGATCTAGAAAGAGGACAAACAGGACGAAAACAAGACGAGGATTTCCGATGCTACCATGTAACGTCCACTACTGGGACGTTGGGGCAAGACGGGGAGGGAGGGGGTACAAGACAAGACAGGACGGGGCAGAACAGGGCGGTGCTAGGCTACTCTAGCGGACGGGTGAGCTCGGGGAGCACTTACGTTTATTCACGATAAAACCGAACTCCAGACAAACGGGGGGAACGGGGGCAACCCGCAGGTATACCCTGCGGTGGCCTGCCTGCGGTGCGTGAAAACGCAAAGCGCAGCACAGGTCACGACCCACTGCGCCGCGCAGTACGCGCAGTACGCGCAGCACAGCGTCGGAGATACCATCTCCTACATAAATATTCTCAAACGCTCGCTCCTGCCAGGGCCTTGAGGACCTCTGCGAAGCGGGCGCGGAAGGTGTCGACATGGAACTCCGCCTTGGACTTGGACACGAGGTATTGGTGGGCGTCAGGGATCCGGGTCAGCAGATTGTTGACCTCCGACAGGTCGTAGTAGAACAGCGGGTAATCTTGCCCGAGATACTCCTCCAGAGCGGGCAGGCGGTTGACGATGATCGGGGTGTTGCGGACGATGCACTCCACCACGGTGTTGACGGCGGCCGCATCGATGAGGTCCAGGAACACCACCTTTGCCGTCAGCAGCCGGTCGTAGGCCTCGTCGTTCTGGTGCTCGATCACTTGGACGCTATGGACCTGTGCGATCAGCGACTCTAGGGAGCTCTGTATGAAGGTTTGCTTGTTGTTGCGGCACATGTTCTGGAAGCAAACGTCTCTGTTGCTGCTGTTCAGCTCCACAATACTACCATCGCTCACCGAGTAGCAGGTATAGACGCCCCGGCTGATCGACATGCCGCTTACAACGAAATCCTCGGGTGCAAAGTTGTCGTCCATGCTCTGGCCACGCAGGGCATACTTGCTCACCCCGGGATTGAGCTGGAGGGTGTAGATGCTGAATGGGTTGCGCAGCCAGGCGCCCACATTGACAACACCCTCGTTTTGGTAGTAGTGCTCGAGATTGAACAATGGAACACCTTGCATCAGCGTCGGGTGGATCATGTTTATGACCTTGACGTGGGACTTGTTGTGTTCTGCGAGCAGCTTGATCACATCGGCCTTGAGTGCACTGGACATGGTAATCAGGAGCATGCAGGTATCCAGACTCTGGAGGAATAACGGCTTCTCGAACAGGGCACCCACGTTGTTGGGCGATGTGCCTGTGTTGAGTGTGTGGTGGATGAAGCCAAACCACTTGCGACGATACGGAATCGTACCGGTGCTCTCAAAGAGGTCATAGCACCAGTGGAAGCTGCGGTCAATATAGTCGTCAAACAAAACGGCCCCGTTGACATCATCATTATAACACTCGATGCTCTCCATGGCATATTTCCATCCGGCCCGGTGTGGATTTGGCGACGGGCTCAATGGGACGACTCGCTTGAATGTCGGCACACCATTGGGGTGGACAGGGTTGGGAGTATCGTGCGGTCCGGTATGTTCATCATCATTAGGCCATGACTTGGGCTTCAGCTTGCTTTGCCAGTCCTTGAGCACCCAGTCAATCTCAGAAACAATGTTCACAGTTGAGCTTGTCATCTTTTGCTCCATTCCGTATTGGTATTCCGTGTGGGGTTGTCCTGTGATCACATAGAGGATATTTTGAGTCAAAAACGACACACTTACACTCATATCTCCCCCGATGAGCTTGGCTACAACACCAGGTGCATTGAGAGTCACAAGAGTGATCGGGTGCTTGGGGAAGAACACGGCAAAGACACCCGCTACTCGCTGCATCACATCTTTGGGGGTGCAAATGTCCCTGGCATCATGCACACCTCCCGCGCGCGGGGCACCGACGACCGACTCCAGGAACGACTGGTAGGATGTGAGCGGATAGTCCTTGTATTCGACTGGTGGCTTCATATAGCCGACCTGGTCAAACATGTCCAGCACAGCGTCCACATCGATACCCGTTGGCTTGCGCTGGGCGTCGATTGGCATCTTGTAGAGCGCATCCAGCCGTCCGATATCGGTCATGAGCTGCTCGGTCTTGACGGTCATGCTGAAGGAGATGAACGGGATCTGGTAGACCACCGCCATCATGTGCGCGTGGTAGCGCATGCAGAAGGCAAAGTCGAGCTTGCGGAAGGTGCTGGCCATCTCCTCGATCGTGAAGGCGTCCGTGTAGGTCTGGATGTGTGTGTTAGAGTCCGAAGGGGACTCAACGGCAAAAGAAGAAGTGAGCTCGAAGTGAGCTCGAAGTGAGCTCAGGGAAAGCAAGGGTAAAGTCCGAAGTGGACTCGGAGAGGGAGCGAGGGAAGCAAGATCCGTTCAAGATAAGACTTGTCTCGAAATGAGACGTGAGGAACACTCAGAGAATAAAGTAGAAGGCACTTTATTAAGTCCTATTTTGAACGCTGAGGTTCGACTACACATCGCGGGAGTCAGGCTATTTATAGACAAGTCCGGACTTGGCAGCGAAGGGCGGCCAAGGGAGGGAAAAGTGGGCGATCGAGCAGGGCGAAGGGGGCGATGCACGAACGAGGGCCGAGAAGGACCACCGAGACAGGCAGAGAACCAAAGCGAGAGAGGCGCAAGCAAAAGCGAAGCACCTGGCAGGAGAAACGTGCAAAGGCGAAGCAATGTGACTCAACGTCCAAGAAGCGGATTGGTCAAGTATAAGGTTGGGGCAAATGCATGCGAGATGAACAAGAGATCGGGGCGGTCAGGCAGGTCATGAGTCACCGGTGGGGGACACATGACCGGCAGCCGAATTGCAACCAATCGCAGCAAGGCGCGTGCACAAACAAACCGGCGCGTGCGAAGAAGACAAAGGAAGCGGAGCAGCGCGGGAAAACGGAAGTGCGGAATGGGCGGAAAAGACAGACAAAAGGCGGAAAATTGGAGGGGAACTGCAAGGCTACACACAAACAAACAGAAAGGCAAAAGAACAGCCAAGTGTGCAGTCAAAGTGGAGAACAAGCAGGAGCTATCCCTAACATCATCCCCTTCCTTAGCGGCGAACTCCGGGCGTCGCCTTCGGCTTTGAGGGATAGCGAAGGTGGAAGTCAGCAACAAGATCAGTGGCGTGGGAAACATTGGCAGCGGGCTCCCAAGACCGGTCAGTCTCGGAATAGCCCTTCCACTGAACCAAGTACTGTAAGCGACCACGGAAGAGCCGAGAATCGAGAACAGTCTCGACCTCAAACTCTTCCTGGGAGTCAACAAGAATGGGAGGTGGTTCAGGTTGGGTGAACTCGGGAACAATGTCCTTCGTTCGGGGTTCAAGGAGGGATACATGAAACGCGGGATGGACTTTATGTAGGAGATGGTATCTCCGACGCTGTGCTGCGCGTACTGCGCGTACTGCGCGGCGCAGTGGGTCGTGACCTGTGCTGCGCTTTGCGTTTTCACGCACCGCAGGCAGGCCACCGCAGGGTATACCTGCGGGTTGCCCCCGTTCCCCCCGTTTGTCTGGAGTTCGGTTTTATCGTGAATAAACGTAAGTGCTCCCCGAGCTCACCCGTCCGCTAGAGTAGCCTAGCACCGCCCTGTTCTGCCCCGTCCTGTCTTGTCTTGTACCCCCTCCCTCCCCGTCTTGCCCCAACGTCCCAGTAGTGGACGTTACATGGTAGCATCGGAAATCCTCGTCTTGTTTTCGTCCTGTTTGTCCTCTTTCTAGATCCTCAAGCTGGATCCCGCCTCTCTTGCCGACCGACTCTCCTCTCTGTCCCTGGAGCCTGCCCCTGCCATGAGCAACCCCCGCCCACTTCCGGAAGCCTTCCTCAAGACCTTCCGTGCCCCAGTGTTTACTGGGAAGAGCCGCTCCTCCTCGGTGGAGGACTGGCTGCAGCAACTCGAGGACTACCTCGATGCTGCCCAAGTCGCCCCCACCCACCACATCGTCGCCGCCAAGCTCTGCTTAAAGGACCAGGCGTACCGTTGGTACCGCCGCCAAGGGTTCGACGAGCAGAGCGAAGGTGTGTTTGACGACTTCAAGGACCGCCTCCGTCGCCGCTTCGGCAGCCCCAATGCTGAACTCATTGCCCGTGACAAGCTATACTCTCTCGTGCAGCGTGGTTCTGTGACCCGCTACATCGAGGAGTTTGAAGACCTCTCCTCCCAGATTGAGGAGCTGGGCTCTGCTGATGCGATGTACCTCTTCCAGAAGGGCCTCAAGCCCAAGATCAGAGAGTACATCGCCAGCAACCCTGATGCCCGCAAGTCCCTGGACGTGATGATGGACGTTGCCGAGAACCTCGACAACGTCCAGTACCATGGCCGCCAGTTCTACCCGCAGCTGGCAGGCGGCCATCGGTCTCATCACGTCCCAGCCCGTCCGCCTCGCCCGGCCCCGCCCGCAAGACCCATGCCTGAGCCCATGGACGTTGACGTCAACGCCATGGAGGCTCGTGGCCCTCCCCGCTCCCGGTTCCAGCAAGCTGCCACTGTCTCCCCCAAGGACAGACAGAAGCAGGAGGACCTCCGCCATGGTTCCTGCTTCTTCTGTCACCGACCGGGACACCAGGCCAAGGAGTGCCCCATGAAGTCGGGAAACGGCCGACCCTACTAGGTGGCTCTGGAGCCCTAGTAGGAGACCAACGCCGTGGATTGCTCAATGCAGTCCACGCGTCTCCAGAGGAAGTTCACCTCGCCCCCTCCCCCGAAGGAGAAACAAACCAAGTGTTGTGCGTCGTGCGAGAGGTGCATGGTGGCGCAAGCCGCCTGCCTCTCCACGAACGTGAAGAGAAAACCAAAATTGAAAACCAAAACAAAAAAGAAAATCAAGAACCCTTGAGGGACAGGACCGCCTGTGCCCTCACCCCTGTCAAGTCGTGTGTGTCGGATGCTTCCGACATGTGTCCGCAAGCCGTGGACGTCGTGTGCAATGGCGTGCTGACGCCGCAGGCCCCCGCAATGGCCGAACCCTATCCAAAATGTCCGAGTGGCCGTGATGAAGCCAACCAAGACCAAGTGTCGCCCGTTCCCCCAAGTCAAGTCATGGTGCAGGAGGCTGTGCAGGAGGACCATGAAGAGTCCCTGCTGTACCTCCCTGCCACCGTCCAAGGTCACACCGTCCGAATGATGGTGGACTCTGGAGCAAGCTGCAACTTTGTCAGCAGACGCTTGCTCCAGGAGCTCAACATACATGCAACCAAGAAGAAGTCGCCGATGAGTGTGGCGCTTGCAGACGATCGTGTGCAGCAGTGCACACACCAAGTGGTCCTGCGAGTGGCCCTCCATCCCAAGTACCATCCTGTCCTGTTGTTCCAAGTGATCGACACCAAGTTCGATGCCATCCTCGGCATGAGCTGGCTTGCTCGTGCCGAGCCGACTCCAGTCGTCGACTGGAAAGGCCGCACTGTCCGTGTTGGCCCTGACATTGTCCTGCAGGGCATGGCCTCACCCAACATGCCACCTCTCCTCTCAGCCATGCAATTCAAGAGGCTGATCAAGAAGGACACGTCGTTCCTCTGTGTCGTGCGTGAGGTCGACGACACCGACCAAGCCGGTCCCGGTCCCCCGCCTGTGGTGACCAAGCTGCTCGACGAGTACAAGGACGTATTCCCCGACCAGTTGCCACAATGCCTGCCACCCCAACGCACCGTCGATCATCGCATCGACATCGAACCAGGCTCGTCGCCTCCGTCAAGACCGACGTACCAACTGTCGCTGACGGAGATGGACGAACTCAAGCGCCAGTTGGATGACCTCCTCGCCCATGGGTTCATCCGCCCGAGCCAGTCACCGTATGGTGCACCAGTGCTCTTTGTCAAGAAGAAAGAAGGTGATCTCAGGATGTGCGTCGACTATCGCGCACTAAACAAACAGACCATCAAGAACACCTACCCGTTGCCCAGGATCGACGAGTTGATGGATCGTCTGAGTGGAGCAAAGGTCTTTAGCAAGATAGACCTCCGCTCAGGCTACCATCAGATCCGCATCCACGAGGATGATGTCCACAAGACCGCCTTCAGGACTCGCTACGGACTGTACGAGTTCCTAGTGCTGCCGTTCGGATTGACGAACGCACCTGCCACGTTCATGCAGCTGATGAACGATGTGTTCCGCCAAGAGCTCGACAACTCTGTCATCGTGTACCTGGATGATATCCTTGTGTACAGCAAGGATGAAGCGACCCATGAAGGTCATGTCGCCCGCGTGCTGGCCAAGCTACGCGAGCACAAGTTGTATGCCAAACTGTCCAAGTGTGAGTTCTTCAAGAATCAAGTCCCGTTCCTGGGACACGTTGTCTCAGGAAGAGGAATCGAAGTCGACCCCGCCAAGGTCAAGTCTGTGGTCGAGTGGCCGCCGCTCGCATGCGTCTCTGACGTGCAGTCGTTTCTCGGTCTCGTCAACTACTACCGCCGATTCATCCCCGATCTGGCGCGCACTGCCGGTCCACTCACAGACCTACTCCGCAAAGAGTGCCCCTTCGTGTGGGACCACCCACAACGCCAAGCGTTCGAGACCCTCAAGCACGCCTTGACGAACGCTCCTGTCCTCGCTGTGTTCGACCCGAACACGGATGTCTCCGTGCACACCGACGCCTCCGACTTTGCGGTGGGAGCTGTTTTGATGCAGGAGGGAAGGCCCGTTGCCTTCGAGTCGCGCAAACTGTCCCAACACGAGATCAACTATCCCGTGCACGAGAAGGAGCAGCTTGCGATCATCTACGCGCTGCAGAAGTTCCGAGTGTACCTCCACGGTACCGCCAAGCCCTTCAAGATTGTGACGGACCACCAGTCACTGCGTTACCTCGACACCAAGAAGAACCTGAGCCGACGCCAAGCGCGATGGATGGAGTTCCTCGCCGAGTACAACTACGAGGTTGTATACCAGAAAGGCAAACTCAATGTGGTGCCTGACGCACTGTCCCGACGCCCCGACTACCAATTGGCGTCACTGTACGAGTCGACTGTCAGTGTCGACAACACGATGCTGGATGTTGTCCGAGACAACATCGCCAACGACAAACAGTTCGGAGAACTGTTCCGAAAGGTGTCTAAGCTCCCCAAGGACGACGAATCATCCGAGTACACAGTGCGTGATGGCCTGCTCCTCCTGAAGAAGGACAGCCGTGTCTGTGTGCCGGACATTCCGTCGTTGAAGACCAAGTTGCTCCAAGAGGTCCACGACTCGCCCCTCGCTGGACACTT